GGGGGGGGGGGGAGGAGAGGGAGGGGCTTTACTTAGAGCGACTCTGAGAGCCACTCTAATTAAAGCACCAGCAGCGTCACATGTATTCAGTGTCCCTCTGTTTCAAAACGGCGATGGAGGTGCTTTAAAGCTTCTTTAGTTAAAGCACCACTGCCACCATTTTGAAACAGAGAGACACTGCATACACGTGATGTGGAGGCTGCTGGACTGCACTAATTAGCATACTCCAGCAGATTCAATTAATTGAGTCTGCTCTGACACATGGTAATTGTCATGGGGGCACTTTAATTAGCGTGTACTGAAGTAGAGGTCCATCATACGTACAGGTACTATTTAGGACTAAGCAGAGAGCCTAGTGAGAGACAGGGTCTGAAGTCAGATTCAAGTTAAACTTTGATATAGAAGTAGTGACTTTTCTATAAAAGAAATGACAAAAGGGACAAAGGACTTCACTCGTACAGGTGATACAATGATAACATTTGGATGACACACAATGAAAATAGGTTTAACTATTATTAAAACTCCTTTAGTTGTATGCCTCTGCTTGTTAACTTTCAAAGAGCACATTGTGTTTGTTTTTGAAGGAATTGCCGTTCATCACTGTAATTTCTAAATGGTCATGAGTAGGGGTCTACCCAATTCCAGGAGGTGGCCAGCTGATTTTTTGGGCAGATTATGGGGCTGGCCCCCACTTTCATGGGCTTAGTGTGGTGCCCCCTCACAAGCCTCTGATTGGCTGAGGAAACCCGGTGGTCCCACTGCTAATTGATGGAGAGGGCTGCCACCTCTTGCTGCTGATTGGTGGAGGGAGCGGGGCCCCGCAGCAGCCATCTCAGCAAGGGGTGGGGGGCAGCAGCCATCTTGTGTGCTGGCCCTCATGCCAGAAGCCCCCTTTGTGGTAGGCTGCATGGCCAGGATGATTGCTGGTTCCCACGGGGGAGCCAGCATTTTATTTTTAGAAATTTTTTTGTTGTTTTATTTTTCCACAAATTTTGTGAAGATCACCTGGTGTCATGATTTCTGTGAAATCTGTGCAATTGCAATTTGAGTAAGTCCCTAGTCATGAGATCCCAAAGAGAATTATATAGCGAGACCCATACCCCATTAGGCTGTCTAAAGTAAATACACTTGGTAAATAGTAGATGTTTTAGACTGGTAACCTAGGTCTAGTGTGAGGTAAAAAAAGCAGGCTTTCACTTTATTAGAGATACCACCAGAGGCTTGTAATTTGGAAAAAAAATTGATCATGGAGAGATATAAATTATATATCCACACAAGAATCAGAGAAGCAACTGCAGCTTATGTAGACATACTGAGGTGGCTTAAGACTGGCTGACAGAAGCATGGTTAGTGCCTTGTCCAGGGCAGCACAAATCTTAATGCAGGCTAAAAAATCTGTCTAGGACCACTGTTCCCCTGTCTATACTAGTATCAGTACTTCAGCTAGCTGGTTCATCTCTACACAAGCTGCAACTCCACTTTTGGATTGCCATGTAGACATACCATGAAATAGCGATCATAGATGCAGCTCATCCCTGAACTGGTTTTGGAACACTTCGGAATACAGAAGTCATAGAGGAATGATGTACATGGGTTTCTTATCACAGGCTTGAAGCTAATGTGTATTTTGTTTAGTTTTAAATGTAAAACAAGTATGAAAAAATGGAACTGGTTTCTAAGCCCTTATTTAAGCTTGATATTAAACATGTTTGTGTCCTTTACGAAAATGGGGCCAAATACATTTAGAACTTATTCATTTAACTGGGCAAGAAAATGCTAAAACCTAGTTTGCTATAAAACAGCCAACTAACATTTAAAAGGGCATAACTACTCTAGTAAATGCTAAAAGCATTTTAGTTTGTTGCATATTTACCAAATAATTATTAAAATTATTATGTATGAGATTATATATTTTTAATAACATAAAGGGTTAACAATAACAAGGGGTGGCTACCTCCAGAGTGACAGTAGGACGTAATCAGATGAGCAAGTTGGAAACAACACAAGCTTGAAAGGTCAGGGACAAAAGAGCCAGGTCAACATAGGCCATGAAGTACACAGACAGAAATGACATTTGTGGCATGATGGGCCCCTTGAAAGTGCTCTAATGCCATGTCAAAACTGAAGAGCGTGGCTGCAGAGTGCTCTGATAGTATGACAGTCATTGTATGAGGGTTCAAATGAAGACATTCCAAAGCAGAGTGCCGTCATTAATTTCTGTCTGCTCTGGCTACTCTCTCTGGATGGGAAGGGGAGAAGGCAGGGGAGGGATGTCTGTTTTGGGGTTTCCCCAGCCCCCCTGGAGTGGGACGAGCAGGTGACAGACCTCCCTCTCCTGCCTTCTCCCCCTACCATCCAGAGACAGCAGTGGAGCTGTGAGGGGGGGGGGGGCGGAGCTAGGGGGAGAAGCTGCACAGACAGTCTCCAAATTGAAGCTGATCCTCCACCCTCCCAATCCAACAGCTGAAGTCTGTTGGGTCAGGATGATCGGTATAACTCATGGTGCTTTCTATGAATCACCATGAGTTAGATCCAGGAGCTACGCTTATGTCTGCACGTAAACAGGCATTCATTTCCACTAGGGGAAATTTCTGAAAAATTTCATTTGAGAAAATTCATATACAGTATACAGGCATTCAGTTGGCAGCTGCCCCCTCTCTTTTGCTTTCCATTTCTTCACCAGGCATGGACAACATCATGTGGCAGTCCTGGTTTGGGAGGGAGGAAATAGCTGCTTCACTCCTCCCAGTGCCTGGAGAAAATGGAGCAGAGGGGAATGGAACAACAGGTCAACTCCTCCCATCTGTTTCACAGACCGGGGACCCAAGTCTGGGGACTAGGCAGGGAAAAAGGACAGACGGCTCCTCTGATCTGTGCAGAGTGAGGGAGCAGCAGCCAACACCCACTCTACCTGTTTCCTAGAGCAGGGTCTAGGGAGCAGGCAGGAGGTGGGGGGCTGTGGAGCAGCTGCTCCACTTCCGTCCCAGAACAATCCAGGGAGAGACCTGGGAAACCTACTGAGGACCCTCAGTCCAAGAAACGGATGTAGGGCTTTGCCCCACTTGCCTCCTAAGAAGAGTGCACAAATGTTCTTTCTTGCAAAAGATTCACTTTCACAAGCAAGATCTGATGCCTGGATGATCATTCTCCCTGAGGGGGCATTCTTCCCCCAGGAGAAGATGAATGAATGGTTGTATGTTCCTAGTTTTTACCAGGGGAATGGCAGCCGCCTTGGAAGAACCATAAGGCTTGTTCATGGCCATAACTGACTGAAGCACATAGCAAGTTTTCTCAGTTCAAACCCCACCTTCACTTTAATGACTTCCTATTGGCTCATTATAATGGGATAGAATTTGGATCTAGTAAAGGTCAGGTACAGGGGACCCAACATTTTAAAAACAACAGTTTAATAAGAATAAACGATGAGATTCATTTTTAAAAGACATTTAGTAATATACTTGGTTGAGCCCTTTACCTGCTGAGGTAGTTCCCTTGGCTCTGGCTGTAATATATTAGAAAGACTGAACAAGTAGCTTTGCTGCTGCTGCCTATGATGTCCCTGTTCTGCAGGCCTGAGACCTTGGTCTCCAAGCTATTTTCCCATTCATTAACATTTACATTTGAAATCAGGGAGGAAAAATGCCTCTCAAAATGGCATTAAACTTGGCTTATTCCTAGAGACCATTAAAAGCCAAACATTTTTGTTTGCGATATAGACCTATTAATCTGCACCCTTCCTCACCAGTACGCCCATGTAACTGCCCCAATTACCTGCTCAGACATTCACACCTTCATCACCTTCTATTCCCTCCTAATTATCTGGATCTTACTGATGCTTCCAAAGTATTATGGATAAAGGAAGTGATGAATGACTCTTTACAAAACAACTGGGCATCTTATATCGGTTTGTGAATAGGAATTCAGGTCATTATTAAGACCCTGAATTCAACAAAAGCTTAAGGATGTGCTATAAGGCAGAAAGAACACTCAGATAAGTTAAGCACATCCTTAGATGATTTGCTGCACTGGGGCATGAGAGTGGGACATTGCTGGCTACAATTCAGAAAGGTATGAAAGCATGTATAAGTTTAAGCATACAACTCAGTAGGGCTACCTATATACTCTAGTATTCTGCCCTAGATGAAAACCCAGAAGTTTCTGGAGACAGAGTACATCAAATGGAGTGAAGGGGTGGTAAGGGAGGACAGCCCCTCCCGGGGTGAGAAACAGGGTAATTGGCAATTCTTATATTCATTTAGCTAAGTCCCTTTGTCTCCAATCTCAGCACACAGCTATCTGGGTTTTACCACATAACCAAACAGTTGCTGTATTTGCATTAGAAAAAAAAATCTCTTGCAGAAAGCCTTCTCCAGATTTCAAGAATGCAAATAGCTACGGTTAAAACTGAAGAAGTGGGTGGACAAAGCAAACATATTTTAATTACTGTAGGTGGGGAAAGCAAACACACTTATTTTCAGCATGTGCAACGTAAGATTGAATATGTCACCTTGCAGCTGCATTTGTGATTATTTTCAGACTGCTGGGATTACGGATCAGTTTATCCAGGATGCTGACAATCTGCTCAAACTTGGGTCTGTTGTTTCTGTCCTTTTGCCAACAGTCCAGCATCAGCTGATACAAGGCAGCTGGGCAGTCCATAGGAGGTGGCAAGCGGTACCCTTCATCCACAGCCTTAATTACCTGCACAAGGATAAAAGTTTTAGAAAAAAAGGTGATTCAATTAACTTGTTTTATCAGTTCTGCAAAATACATTATCACAGACACTTAATGTTTAAACAAATGTGTTCATTCTCCAATTGTCTTGCAGTGCAACACTCTTGGCTTATCTACATAGTAACTCAGATAATAAATGACATACAGAAAGAGCTATAGGAAAATTAAGATATAGCATGTCACTTTGAGAAAGATGCAGTTTCAACAAGCTTCTCTAAAACCGACATATGATTATGTTAGTGAAGTCTATGTTAAATGGTACATTTAATACGGTAAGTTGTATTATGCCCATGTCCTCATCCCTCTCACACACACAAAACCAAAAATCAGATCATTCCCAATATCCTAAGTTTAGTATTGCTAGAAATGCCACTCCATATCTGACCACTAGATATTTGATTCCAAAAGCTTGATCAATACTTCATACTTTAGAGGGTATCAACCCCATCATTTATGCATCTTTAATGTCATATACTGTCCACATCTAACTTCCACTGAAATCATGGGTAATTTGCCTACCTTCCCAAAGATATTCTATAGATAGAGGGCAGCACATAGTCATTACATTGTAACAGATCTTACTGGGCTCCTCCACAAGTGTAGGATGGCAGGAGGCATGACTGTGGGATTGCAAATCAGATCCCATCATGCCTTAGTGCCAAAGAAGGGGCTTCTCACCAGGCTTCCTCTGCACCAGCAAAAAGAAAGCCCCTTCAGCTGACGAGGATCCCAGCTATGGGGGTACCTCATACACCCCCCATGGCTAGGAGACCACCTGCTGTGATCTGATAGCTTCAGGGGCACCCCATGTACAGCTGGGCAGGGGGTGAAGCTGTTACAGTCTCCCAGCTGCAGGGATGCATGGTGCACCCCCTTAGCTGGGAGGTTGAGTAGCTGTGGTCAACCAGCTGTGGGGGTGCATGGAGCACCCCTGCCACTGGACGCCCTGTCAGCTGATGGGGTTCCCAGCCATGGAGGCACAGGCTACACATGCAAATTAAAGCTGGGTAGAAACCAGCTATAAAGTTACTACACATTTTCCATCAGTAATTATATAACTGGTTGGACCTTTTTAAGGCACCATAGTTAATTTGCACATGTAGTTAGTCTAAATTAATTGCACAATTAACCAGGTAATTGTGTAATACCCGATTGAATTAGCTATTAGATAAAAGCACCAAAAAGCCCTGCTGAAATGCCCAATCTATACAGGCGCTGCAGAGCCAGGTCGATCTAATGTGCTACTTCTTCCAGTAAAGCTCTGGGGAGGTTTTTGGAGGGTGGGGGAGGTTAACGTCTGTAAGTAGCCCTAGATTCTTAGATAGAACCTGGTTAGGAAATGACTATGTTTAAGCACTCCCATAGCAAAAAATCATACAGGCATACCCTGTCCCCGAGTTTCATTTTACTATAAGTAGGTATTATGGAAGTGTGACAGGTTCAGGTGATCTGACTGGTATCTGATACCCCCTAGTGGTCAGATCTGCCTTTCTATGCTCCCCAACCTCCTATTACCTCCTATCTCTTGCCCACCATGATTTGATCTTATGGTAAGCTGCCTCCAGAGGCTGGGGTAGCCTTTTCTTGGGTGCCATTCCTCTGCATATAGCCCTCAGTGCTTCTCTGCCCCAAATTCCACAGGGTGGATTTCCCCTTTAAGGCAGCCCCAATTGTGCCTTAGGAGCAATAATTGTGACCTACAGCCACCCCCATAGACATGCCCATGCCTTGAATATGTCAGTCAGTGTTTGGATGGAGGGGCCCTTGGCCCTGATTCTACACTTGTCCCCTCAAACCTCCAACCTTTGTTGGGGCTTCTGCCTTCCTGGCTTCAGCCCTTTTACTCTCACTGGGCCCCCTAGCCCAAGGTCCACTGTCCTGGACCCCAGCTTCTGGGCCCCAGCCCTATCTTGTACATGTGTGTTTTTGGGCCCCTGGCCCCCGCCTCATGCTTCTGGGCCCCAGGCCTCTGGCCCTGAACCTCCTTAGGGAACTCTCTCCTGGACATCTCTCAGGGATCCCCTGTGGCCTCCAAACCACCCCCATAGCCACAATCTGGTCCTCCAGTCCTAAACAAACAAACTCCAGCAAAACAGAAATATAAGCAAATTGCATCCTCAAAGTTCATACCCTCTCTGGTCAATACCGTACCATAAGCTATACGTGATAGGCTCACCCTCATTCCCATGGGTAGCTTGGGTGTCCGTGGGCCTGCTTTCTGCTGTCAGCTTCCCCAGACAGCTCCTCTCCCTGAAGCATACAGGGTCTGACAGCCTGCTCTGGCTCAAGCCCTGGTCTTATATGCCTCAAAGCCCCACCCCCTTCTGTCATGTGGCTTTTCCCAGCCACACACTGGAGTTTCCCCTTTTAGTTAAGGGCCAGCCTGTGCTCCTCTTGCCACAGCCGTACACAGCCAGCTTAGCCTGCTGCACTGTCTTAAATAACAGGAACCCCCTGGCTGCCTGTTACAGGAAGGCATCCCACTAAAATATTAGCCTAAGCAACACTCTTAAATTGATCCTGTACTACAGTAGTCATATTATCATATTCATTTAAAAACCAGGTACAGCTTGCTGTAAAGAATTAATATACAGCCAGTAGTCCTTATTTGGAAGGAATGTGGTTCAGTTTTTCTTTGTATTTTTGTTTTTATATTAACATTTTTAGGAACAGCAGTAAAGCAAACCCTGGTTGCCTAATTGTGGTTACCATTATTGCTCCTTTGTTCTGTATTAAGAAAGGGGCAGGGAAAAACACCTGAAAATCTATGCCTTAGGTGCCCTCTACAGATGCAGGTAAAGGTGCAATTGGATCTAATAAGTGATCCATACAACCACATACATGGCAGGAGGCATGACTGTGGAATCACACATTAGATCCAATTGTACTTTATTCCTAGTGCAGGGGGAGCACGATCCTGTGTTCCCCTGCATCTGCAAGAAGCAGACTCCCATAGGTGGGAGCCCCCTTTGTTGATGGGGCTCCCAGATGCAGGGACCATGCATAGCCAGGATCATGAATCCCAACATCTGATGGAGGCTCTTGTTCCTGGCTGTGTCCCATGTGCAGCTGGGACCAAGAGCCCCCATCAAGTGTGGGAAGTCTCAGTCCTGGCTGTTCATGGTGTGCAGCCAGGACCAAGAAGCCCATCAGTTGTGGGACTCTCAGCCCCCACAGACATGGGGCAGTGGGGACTGCAGTCTCCTACCTGTGGGGGTGCCCACAGCTGGGAGATTGCAATGGCTGGGAGATCACAGCAGCTGCGTTCTCCCTACCACAGACTACTTACACGTACAGATTAAAGCTGGATAGAAACCAGCTATAAAGTTATTACAGATTTTTAAGTAATAATTTCATAGCTGGTTGGACCTTTTTAATGTGCAAGTGTAGCTAATCTAAATTTATTGTGCAAGTAACAAGGTAATTGCACAATAGATATAATGTGTAGAGGGGGCCTCATTGTAATAGAAGGTTAATTTTATTTCTATCCAGAAGCTTTGTCTATAGTTGACTCATGTGGAATAAATCTAAGCACAAGTCAAGAGAAATAGGAGGAAAGGCTTTTCCTTTCCCCTCTCTAAACCCTGGTTTGGAAAAAGCTATATTTCTAACAACCAAAAATGTTAGCATAGATATTAATTACTTAGACCTCCCACCCCACATGGAAATCTTCCTAAATTAATTAAACTATTTTCCCAATTTATCTGTTGCCTGGTTGCAGAAGTATTTTTGGTTCATTAAAACCATAGTACAAATGCTTCAATTTTAATTCATGGACCCCAACAGCAATTTACTTTGTGCATTCAAGGGTCATGGGAAAGTTCTGTAGAATGTTATAGATATGAATTGCAAGGGATCAACAGAAATGTAGGCGGGGTTCATAAAAAAAATCTATGGAACATGAAAGAAATTACAATGTTTGTTTTAACACCGTTTACAGAACACTGCTGCAGGCACATCATTCTTTTTAGCAATCTATGGAATAGTTCAGGTGTTTTTCTAGAAAAACTATAATTTGCTGTTAAACTTAACCCATTTCCACAAGCAGGGAGACTTGGAAACTTTCATCTCTACATCTTCATCAATGTCAATGTCAAAAATGCAGAGCCCCCTGGTTTCATTATACTCCACTTCCTTTCACAGCTTGATTCTTTATTTGAGAACGTAACTCAGGCAACAATAGACTCACATCCTGATTGGACATTTCCCAGTATGGCCTCTCTCCATAGGACATCACCTCCCAGAGAACAATCCCATAGCTCCATGCGTCACTTGCTGATGTGAATTTGCGGTATGCAATGGCTTCTGGCGATGTCCATCGAATTGGAATCTTTCCCCCCTAGAAGTAAAAGGAAAAAAAATCTAAAAAATCTTGACCTAGTATATAACGAGTATAACTGCATAGGATTAATCCTTTTTAATGAAGCCATATGTTTATCAATACATTGCTTCAATAAATAACTAACATTACCAAAAGCTACTGCCAGTTTTCATGGCAGTGTGTCTGCATGTCCTACTCACAGTGGTTTTTGCAGCAAACATTGAATGATATTGTATCACAACATTGTCCAGATGGTCTGCATATCTGCACATTTTCTCTTTATAAATTAAATATATATATTTTTATTGACACATTAATATTAAGGGTTTGAGGAGCCTGGTGCCCCCTGCTTCACTCTTGGGTGTTAGAGGAAGATGGAGATATGAGGCAGCATGGTTTCCCTAACACTGGTCTTTCACATAAAGTCCATGGCAACCATATGCAAGTAAGTAAAGTTAGAGCAGCTCCAAGACTGCTCTGTCAGGACGAGGGCCTGGACAGAACAACCTACAGGGCCAGGAGTCCACAACTTCAGCTCAGTTGTACAAGGAGAGGCTGGACTTAGACATTTCTTAAGTCAGAAGAGCACATCATTAAATGATTTAAACTTGGAAGAGAATTAAAACTACTGTTACAATTAGTACATGTAGCTGGGGAAACAGCTCTCTCTGATTAAGGCCACTGTTTTTGCCATAACTCAAATCAGCAAAACACACGCAAGTAGCCTCAGGCCGCAATGGGAGAATTAGAGGGAGGAGACAATCACTTTCCATTGGCGCCAGTGTTTACAACATTTGCAAGTCTCTGATTTGAGGGTCATGCATGAAAGAACCAGGTCCCTAAAACATGGCAAGACAAAACTTTTTGACTTCAAATGACTCAAAAAAGAATGTAATTAAATGCAGAATGTAGTGACTGTTTAAAGCTGTTTCCAGCTCCAGGGATATACAATCTATGCAGCTCTGGGTTAAGCTTCAGCTCAGACTTCAGATTAAACTGTATTTATTTTAAGCACTTCTCTACCTTCTGTTTACAGCAGCACTTGAGTGCTTCACAATCTTCAATACACTTATCCTCACAAAATCCCCATGAGGGTGGGGGTCCTACTATCTCTATTTAACAGATGGGGAACTGAAGAACAGAGGGTAAGTCAATGTGGTACAGTTCAGGGCATACAGTTGCTCTAGACAAGCTAGCACGTATTCTAGAAGCAACATATCCATCTTAAGGGGGATGAGCTACCCTTTCCAGGATGACTAATTTGCTCAGGCAGAGCAACAAATTAACACAACTACATTGCTTCTAGTACTAGAGAGAGCATAAGTACAGCCAGCTCAGGTGTCTTTGTATTGTGCACACAAATATACCCAAAGAGATTAAAGTTATGTATGCAAAGCAAAGAGACATAGGTAACCCAGTTTCAAGAGAGCTAGTTTGTCTTATGACCAGGGATCCTGGTTTTCTCCAATTTAAAAAAATCCCCAATTTTTCGTTAAAAATAAAGTAACCCCAAATCCACACTTTTCTGTGATTATATGTATAGTGTGTTAGGGTAACAATATTTGGATTTTGGGGAGCACTGGATTTGCAGCTGAGACAAGGCTTTAATCTGGGTCTCAGCAAAAGCTGCTGACCACAAGGCAGAATGATGTATTAAAATAACCTTGCAAGTGCTTAGGCAAGTCGTTTTCTAACAATGGGACAGTGTATAGCATGTATGGTGTAAGAAGAACAAGATGAAGCCCACCAACTATCGTCAGGAGATAAAGCAGAAGCAAAACCTTGGAGAGGCTGCTGAAGTCAGCAAGAAACCAGAAAGAACTAGCAAGTGACTGGGAGAAGCTGAGTGAATGGCCTTACGCAAGTGCTCTTACCAGAGAGGCATGTAAACGAATGAAATGCATAGGTAACTCCATGTTAATGGAGTAAGCAGTAAACAGAGGCAGAGCTTGAGATGGGAGGAGAAACGGGTGGAACCAAAGGAGGAGTGAAGGTGGAGTGAATGTTAATGAGTATGAACCAAGGTGCATAAAATGTGAAAGAACTAATGTTCAGGGCAGGTCCCCAGTTTGTTGTTTTTTTGGGACCTGGCCTGAAGCTGTCTCCATTTTGAATAAAGCTATTGTGAGCAATGTGTGCTCGTGTTTGCTCCCTGCTTGCTCTGGCTAATGAGTAACAGGATCCATGAACAATTGTAGTCGTTGGGCACCGCATGGAGTTGGGGTCTAACATAGTGGTATTTCACTTAAATCATGGAAAAATGTGTATTTGGAGTGACTTTTTTTTTTTTTTTGACTGAGAATTGGGGAATTTTTAAATTAGAGAAAACCAGGATCCCAACAGTGAACCATCAGCAGCATGGATTGAAGCATTGGCTAATAACTTAAATATCTACCCAAAGTGCTTGGCTGATTTGTACAGACTGTATGGAAGCCTACTGTTACTCTAGGTAGATTACAGCTAGCACTTATATGCCTTATTGTGCTATAATTATATCTCCCAATTGCAATTAATTAATTAATTGGCCAAGAGGACTGAGCCTGGTCTCCCTGAGTCACAAGTATCACCTGATTCCCCAGAGTATGTGCCTTTATATTTAGACTAATTCTCATCTCACACACAACCCTCAACTGTGGCTGGGGTCAGCCCCTACGCAGTTTCCTCATGATGAGGATTTGTCAATTTATTCCATATCAAAAGCCAGACTGAGCCCTTAGTCTCTGGGTACAGCCAAATGAGGCAATAATTGTGAAGTAACAGGGGCAAGAACTTACTGTACATCAGGTGCTCCAATGTAAATGCCCATGTGACCATTCTCATCACATGGTAAGTCAAAGTGAAACAAAAAGTAGCTTAGTCCCATTTCACTGAGGGCTAAGGTCTTCCAGTTAAACTTTTGCTTACTGCTGAGTAAGAGTGGGCGCACAAGGCATTTATATACATGATCTGGGAGTTGGGGGAGAGAAAAGGGGGCATTTTAATTAGAGCAGTTTCAAGAGCCGCTCTAATTAAAGTGCCTGGAGCATCATGTGTATCAGTGTCCCTGTACTACAAAATGACGGTGGGGGCACTTCAACTAAAGCTTCTCAAATGAACTTTAGTTAAAGCAACCCCACTGCCATTTTTTCAGCATCGGGATACTGATAGATGTGATGCTGGAGTCTGCTCCAATGCGCTGTAATTACAGCATGTTGGAGTAGGCTCAGTGCATGTGTATAGGTGCCCACAGACAATTACTTCAGAGCAGCTGAAACACGTTAACTCCTGAACCTCTGTTAATTGCTACTGTTTGTTTTTCTAGTCTCTCACTCTCTCTCACCTTAGAGTCCAAAAGATGTCCTCCAACTCAGAAAAATCAAAATGCTTTTGGCTCAAATGTACAAGTTTTTCCACTGCTTGCATTGTGGATATATTTGAATGCCACACTAATAAGAATACATTTATCCTCTCTGGGAAACATTGCTATTTTCACTTTATAGATGCTTACGGTTGCAGGATGAGTCTCCTGGCATAGCCTCACTGAGTGCTAGTGTCTTAACCAGAAAATCCTCCTTCTTTTACAATAGTGAAGATTAAATAAATTAGTTCCACTACTCTTATTACATTAAATATTTTTGTTTGTACTTTGTACAGTCTGCATATAGCAACCTCTGATGTATCTCTGAGAAAAAAATTAAAACATCAAAGTAAGATCTACCAGTATATTGTAAAACTAAGAAAATCAACTTAAAAAAAAATACAAGTTCACACTGAAAACACACTGAAAAAGCTTGTAAGCTGCTATTTGATCCACATACACTGACTAAGAAATTGATAAGGCTTGTAAAAAAGACAGGAAGATTCAAATATGAGCTCTGACAGTGCAAAGGGGAAGTGAGTTCAAGAAGCAAGGTCTTTGCACTGAGTACACCCAACCTTCAAAACCACAAACCCAAGGAATATTTGTTACATGCCCCAGTTGATCTTAACTGTTGGGATAAAATTGCCTGTATGCTACCTGGGACTTAAAACTAAAAAGGACTTTTCTAGATCAAAAACAACCCCTTGAACTACATCTGGAAATGAATTTGCAGCTCTTGGAGCTGCTGGTGCACAGATGGAACACGTTGCCAGTGTGGAGCACAGATGAGTACATTGGCAGCAGAATTCTGCATTGGATGATTTGGTCCTATGGGTAAAAAAAATCCAGCTAGGAGCAAGTGATGCAGGAACAGATAACAGTTAAAGTCTGATTGGAAAAGAAGTGTTACAATGTCCTATCCAAGTAAAGATGAGCTGCTGATGCTTTTAAAACAATGGAATCTACACTGTGAACCTCTGCAACAAAAGCTAATGAAATCCTCACAAAGAGTCACAGCATTTTTGCTGATTCCTCAGGTTGTATCCCAAACCATTACCACAGGGAACACTAAAGCCCCTGGCAGATGTTACACATGTTAATTATGCCATAAAAAACAACAGGGCTACCCATACAGCTGATCTGTGGTGCCAAACCAGCCACAAACATATTCCACAAAATATGTAGAACATATTTGTAGCTTGTTTCTATGGTACCATAAACTGAATGTGTAACATGTCCCCATCCTGATGTGGACAGTAAGCTAATTGGCAGCATCGGCACTGGGATGGGGGCTGATTTGCTCCCTTATGCCAAAAATGTGCTTCTGAGGGAGTGGGTTGCAATGTTCCCTGGTAGGAGAAAAGCTGAGGGGCTCTCCTCACCATGCAATTGGTGACTCCTGTGCCCAGTAGCCTTTCTAGTCCCCCGCCACAGGCAGTAAGGCATATAATTTTAAAATGCTGGGTGGTAAGGAGTTGTGGGGAACTGGATTGCAGGATCAGTTTTTAGGTATCCTGGGGTACCTGGATATCTAAAAACTGTGCATTTTCCTCATACCCCAGGGCTGTCTGGGGCCAAGGTCAACAATTAGCTGACTGTCATCCCTGCCCTGGACAGTCCCAGGTCTTGAACCCACATATGGGGCTGAGGACACTCAGCTTTCAACTTTCTGGTGCAG